CCCCCCTCATGTGCTCTCTCTCTCAAATAAATAAATAAAATCTTAAAAAAAAAAAATGATTCTCTCTCTCCCTCTTCCTCTGCTCCCCCACCCCACCAAAAAAAAAAAAAAAATAGAATATGGTTTAGAGTTAGAAAGACCAACTTATAAGTCCCTACTCTACCATTATGTGTGGTTTTGTCTCATGATTTAACCTCTCTAAAACTATTTACTCATCTGCATAGTACAGATAAAAGACACCTATTTTATAAGCTTTGGGAGAGCATTGAATGATCATTGCATATAACGAAATGTCTTAGTATGCTGTCTGGTACAACTGATCAATATATATTAACTATCAGAACAGAACCACGAGCAGGAAGCTTTATCTATGATATTTATCAGCATATTCCAAGCACCTAAACCAGTACCTAGCACATAGTAGATGTTCAAAAAATATTAGTTGAATAAATGAAAAAAGCCCTCTGTTTTCTATGTTAGGAACAACTGTACTCAATTCAGGGACCAGTCAGAGGAGGATCTGAAAGATCAAGAAGTTAGAGAAGTAAGGGTGAGCTGGGTTTTTAGACCCTGGTTTGATGGAGAACGGAGAAATGGGAGAAATATGGATGCTGATACGGCAGTGGGAATGAGCAGGATACATTCAGATGATTGTGAAATAAATGATTAACAAACCTGTCTTAGGGACAATGGGAGATAAGTCAGTTTCAGAATTTTCAACTATTCTATCTCAGTATAAATCAAATGATGGGAGAAAAACATGATTTGGGGTGTGTTCCTCCCTCACTCATACAGATCATTCCTTCCCACCCGCCCATGAGATTGATACTAAAGATTCAAACTTGGAATATTAAAATTAGGAGCCATCCCACAAAATTGATGGAACAGGTCATCTACGGACATCAAACTAACCAGTTAGGTGAAAAACTGACCCATGAGAAAGTATCTTCCTCAAGCATTTTCAAAACTATCACTTATTTTTAATGTTTAGAAAATAAGTTCAGGCTTGACTACCTTTTTCAGTCTGATCACTGTAAGCATCAAATTATCTGAACAACCATAAGGGTTTTACTTTTATTGCTTCCTATGAAAAGATGTTCTGATATAGGTGAAATTATTGAAGTTCACAAATTACCACAGATCAGAATATTTTTAATCATTTGTTATTAAAGAACATTTAGACAACATTTTATTTATTTATTTATTTATTTATTTTCAGAGAGGGAGATGAGGAGGGGAAGAGGGAGAGAGAGAATCTTAAGCAGGCTCCATGCCCAGTGTGGAGTCCAACATGGGGCTTGATGTCACGACCCTGAGACTACGACCTGAACCGAAATCAAGAGTCGGATGCTTAACCGACTGAGTCACCCAAGAGCCCTTAGATTTCATTTTAAATTGCACTTCATAAATTAGTGTATTTATTTATTCATTCATTATCAAACACCTACTCTGTGTCAGGCATTGGGGTTTAGAGATAAAAGGTCCAGCTTTGCCTTCAAGTGGCTTGGAGCTCGGTGGGAGAAAAAGACACATAACAGTTAACAGCGTCCAGCGTGATGGATGCTGTGGTGGAGGTGCCGCGGTCTCACTGGGGACGCCTAACCCTGACTGGCTCGACTTGGGGGTGACAGTGGGAGTCAGACATGAATTTCTCCAGGAGGTGATGCTGACCTGGATGCTCTGATACAGGACAGACTTGTGTGGGGGGCGGGTGTTGAGCATGGTTAAATCTCTCTGCCCAGGTTTGTGTAATGATCTTTTTCAGTTTAATATAGAAAGACTTAAAAACCCTTTCCATTTTTAGCCCATCATATCTGGGCTTTTATAAAACCAGAGCGAAGCAGTTATATTCAGAAGGAGAATAGTAACCAAAGAATCTAAAAAATAAAACCCAGCATAGATAGCTATTATATACATACTACCATATATTATAATAATCCTCTCTTTTATTTCAGCATTATAGAATGGCTTATTCTGATGTATTTTAAATAGAGATGACACTTAGCAAATATATTTTTAAACTTACAGCTGAGGGGCAGGGTGGAAACCCCAGCATGGAAGCGAGTCTCATCAAACTCTCCCTTATATCCTAGAAAAGAAAGCAGAAATGCATGTGAACTGCTGCCTGATTTATTTTTTATCAATGAGAATAAATTTTTAAAAATACACTTTGAATAAAACAAGTGCAGCAAACCTACTCTTTACCACGACCGAAGCATATGCTGAAAGCTCTCCTTTAACGTTCATCGCAGAGGCCCGGTACTGAGCAGTGTCTTCAAAATCACATCTGAAAGGACAGATGGAGATGAGTGACCATCGCTACAAGCTGTTCTTCTATCAAGGATCTCTTTGCTAACATGGCACACTGCAAATCACTGGCCAGCACGTGGCTCGGGGGACTTTTGATGAAGCTGACTTGGATCCAGCTCCCTGTGGGATTTTATATAATGCAGGATACCTACTACAGTTTCAAGCCAGCAGCACAGTACGGGAGGAGGACACCTACAGCACTGTGACCCTAGCCCAGGTTCATTTAAAATGTCCCAAAAAAACGCCATGTCAACAAACTGTTAAGCATATAAATTACAGCACGAACAGTATTATGATTAACTGGTCTAAAGTGGTATCAGGAGCAGAAAATGTCTGGCCATGCAGGTAACTTCCCAGAGCACCCCATGGGTACAACTTTCCTGCTGGCCTCCCTCGGGGAGAGTTTCAGTCTGGGGGCAACAGGGCGACAGAGAGGGAAAGACACAGCCTCTCCTGCAGGACTCCCGCAGGCTCCCCTGCAGGACTCCCGCAGGCTCCCTGAGCTACAAACCGGATCCGGGTCTGTCTAATGTGTGGTTCGGTGTTCTAGCTTCAAAGTGCAAATATGGTGTTTATCTCTCAACTCAACTAAGGTTCAGGTCACACTTGGAGTTTCAGCCCACAGCACAGCACAGCAGCGCCATTTAGAAGTTCCTACAAGTTATAATACAGAAATCGGGATAGGTTTAATAATGGAGTAAGAGAAAGAATGATCTCACAGAGATGAACAAGCTAAGATTTCAAAGCAGGTTGTTTTTGTGTCTTATCACAACCAGTGTCTGTGTTCTTCATTGACCTTCTGGATTTAGTGTCATTTGTAAAAACTATTTCTCGTTGAAATTTTATGAACATCAACGGAACTCCAGGAAGGTCAATATGGTTGCCTTTCTCATAACTATTTAATTATAAAGCAACCACATAGCTCACTGCAGCCTCAGTAGAACCACCAACTGGCAGAACTGAAGTGACTTTAGGTCAAGGTCAGTGCTTGGACAATGTCCCAGGGCCCTAGGGTCCTGCTTGAAACCCAGTATCATGTGTGTCACCTGCTCTGATCAGAATGATGTAAATTTTACTTTGACATCTCAGCATGTCATGGTTTCATGTGAACTAAAAATGGTGGGACTTCTTCATCCACATAACCAGAATTGCATTCAAAACCGTATTAGGAGATAGATTAAATGTTGGAGGACTTAGAAATTTTGATGTGGGTTTGGCTTTCAAATTTTGCTTTGGATTTTGCTTTAAAAACATCTCCCTGTCCAGTCCTGCCTCCATCTGCAGGCTGAGAGGGTGGGTGCATAGTTTCCTACACTTCCTGGGGAGCTGAAGGAGAGAATTTATCCTGGTGCAGCTTACTTTCACTGCCACCCACCACAATCTCCATGGCCTTTGCTGATTCAAGGCAAAAAAGGATAACGCTGCTGATGATATCGATTTAGAATGGGGAAGGATAACTAAATATAAATGCCTATTTATGTAACTTATTTTCTCACTAATGTCTAAGAAAAACTCTCAAGTATATAAAAGGATAAGCTAAAAGGTACAAATTAATTTTTTTCTCATCATCACTAAATTCAAACGTAAGATCACTTTGTGACCATGGCGCATTTGGAAGAAAGGGGGATAGCGGTTGTGAACTGCTGAGAACACCTCCCCAGGCAACTGTCAAGCGACACACATGGACCCTGACATCCTCTTACGCATTGATCTCCAGAGTGTGCATTCCATAGCGACTCTCAATAATATATTTTCCAGGGTTTGCGCGGACATTGATTGGCACCTGGTTTTTATACCTGTGAGACAACAGAAACAAGGCAAAGTAAGTTGAAATGTAAATAGCTTTATGATTAAAAGCACACACACACGTGATTCTTGTTCATGAAGGAACACCCATAAACACAGCACTGAGGTTGCAGCAGCATCTGTTGAATGAATACAAATCTACAGCAGATTAAATAAAATGCACTATAAATACAATTAAACTTCTCGATGAGCGTGCTTTCCTCTCCTCTCTCATAAAAATTACATTGAAGAAGTTGACCATTCACAACAGTGTGGTGGAGTCTCATATACACAATGTTGAATGAAAAGAGCCAGACACAAAAGAGTACATAGCATAGGGGAACCTGGGTGGCTCAGTCAGTTAAGCATCTACCTTTGGCTCAGGTCATGATTTCGGGGTCCTGAGATTGAGACCTGCGTCAGGCTCTCTGCTCAGCAGGGAGTCTGCTTCTCTCTCTCTTTCTCAAATAAATAAGTAAAAAAATCTTTAAAAAAAGAGTACATAGTATATTGATTGCTTTTATATAAAGTACAAAACCATATAAGACCAAATTACTGCTGTTAGAAGTCAAGAGAGTGATTTCCCTGGGGTGTAGACAGCAGACATGAAGGATGCATCTTGGGTGCTGATATTGTTTGGTTTCTTGTTTGGGTGCTGGTGACATGGGTGTGTGCAGTCTACAAAAACTCATCAAAGCTCTACATTTATATGTAATACATACTTTTTGTGTGTGTATATTATACTTCAATCAAAGACCTAAAGAAAAACTTGTCCATTGTTGACAAGACAGAAAGGAAGGCTTTGTGTTGGGGGTTTTATTGTTGGCTGTCTGTAGGATGAAAGCAAAACATTCTTCCTACTAACATTCTTGCATGTTGTTAAAAACAATATCATTGTATTGAAAGCTCTTATATTTAAGTGTTTTGTTCTGTTAAAAGCAAGCAGGGCTCTCGGCTTGGGAGAACTTAAATATCAATCATGAAAGAAAAAGTCTGACAAATAAGAGTTGAGAGATTCCCTTTTTCTGACTGTCCTATTCCTGGTTAAGCCTCTCAGCCCTCAGAGGGTAGGCCCACATGGAGGGGCCCTTCCTGAGACACCATCTTCTGAGTCTGGAAGTGGCTCCTTGATTCTTCACCACGTCCTCACGCCCTCAATAGCCAATGACTATGGTGCCCAACCAGGCTTTTCTGCTGAAGCCATTTTCTGTCCAAAAGAAGAGCTAGGTTTCACTTATTTTCCCTTCAGACACCCCACTTCATGTGCACAGATAACGTAAATAACACTAATAACCACAACTGAGACAGAGCATTTACTATGAGCCAAACAAGGTTCTAAGTGCTTTACACATAGATCAGAAAATTCAATTCTGGGGCACCGGCGTAGCTCAGTCGGTTAAGTGGCTGCCTTTGGCTCAGGTCAGGATGCTAGGGCCCTGGTATCAAGTCCCACATCAGGCTCCCCTGCAGGAGTCTGCTTCTCCCTCTTCCTCTGTCCCTCCCTCTGCTTGTGCTCTCTCTCTCACTCTCTCTCTCTCTCAAATAAATATATAAAATCTTAAAAAAAAAAAAAAGAAGAAGAAAATTCAATTCTTAACAACTGCCTGAGATAGCCTATTTTTAACATCATTTTTCAGATAAAGAAACCAAGGCATGGAGAAGTTAAATAACTTGCCCCAGTTCACACAGCTAGAGAGCAGAGCTGGGATTTGAAACCAAGCATCCAGCTCGTGACAACATATGATGCTTCCATTTTCCAAATATACTCTGTTTAGCTGCATTTTATTTCTTCAGACTTCTGGAAACGGTTATAACGAGGTGTGGGAGCAGGGAAAGTGGTGGAAAGGGAGAGAAAGAAAGGAACTAATCTTCAGTCAGTTCTTTCCTCTCCCCAGCTTACACACACACACCCTTTGTCCCTAAAACATATTCATTTTCTATACTTTTAAAAATGTGTCATTCTCTTTCTACACCTAGCAAAATCCCAGCTCATCCTTTGAGGTTCAGATCAAATGCCATTTCTTCAATAAACTCCTCCCTGAAATCCCACACGATATTAATTGTTCCTGCCTCTCTACACCAGTGTTACTTGGTTCAAGCTGCAAGACAGAACATTCACCAGATTATGGTTGGATATGTGTCTCTTCTATTAAGCTGTCATTGCCTTGGTGACGGGGCTTGTGTCTGATCCATTTTTACTTCTATTCCCACTCTCAAGGAAGGATGAGTCATGGGCAAGTATTAGGCACTCAGTGTTTGTTAAGTTGGCTTGAACAGAATTATTGTGTAACAATAGATTAATTGTGGCTTCATAATGTTTGGCTGAAGGAACAGAGTTCTGACAAACACATACTTCATGATATGGCTAATTTAAAATAAGCACATGCCAAGAAAGTAAACTGAGGCTCTTTGTGTCTCGGTTCCCTCTGATGTGAAATGAGAGGGTTGAACTGGCTGGGGGATCACAGCTGCGTGGCAGGTGGGGAGGCACAACCTTCTACCCCACCCACAGCAGAAGGGCGAGCCATTCCCTGCCAGCCCCAGAGTGTCCTCGGCCGGCTGTCTCACCAGAGCTCCAGGCAGACAGGGCTATTTGACCACAGACGGCCTAGAAAAAGAAATCTGCTAGGTGCTCCTAATTTCAAACATTCCTTGTATTGATGAATGACAGGGTAGAACAAGTTAAGCAGCATGTTCCTCAGAAGAAATTGGTCTCAGTAATTTCACACTTGACTCAAAAGCTCCCTCTTGCTCAAGTTTGTGCATGAGCTGGGGTGTTTTCGGTAGTTCTTTTTAGCATAAGGAGAGAAATGTGACACCGAAGGCTATGGCAAGTCGTACCTGAGCAACCAATTTAGTGACACTCAGTTTGGCTTCTGACCAAAAATGTTGTTCATATCTCCATAAACTTTGAGTTAAAACAGTATCTTGTAGCTGCCACGGGTTGCTTCACCTTCCTTGCTTTTCAGTACTACCCCACTGAGCACCTTAATGCCTTCCCCCAGCTAAATACCCAAGACTTTTCTAATGTGACCACCTGGCATAAGAAGTCGGTTTAAAATGTACATGCACACGATACACAACACTTTGAGGACCTTCGACTCTTTCCTCTGGAACTCCGGATGGCAGTTTAAGAAAAGCCTGTTGTAAAGCAGCACGCAAGGATTGAGTTAAGAAGCAATTCTCTTCTCTTCTTTGAGAACTTCACCTAGTCATTCAGGTTTGGGATCACTGTGAGACTGCCTATCTTCCACTATGAGATTTTTGGCCTGCTCTGTATATTCTTCAGAGCTTGTTATTTCTGGAAAGTGAAATTCCAAACAGGCTAGTCAGAGGCTAATTTTGGAGAGTAACCTACACTTTGGGATTATTTGTCAAAAGGCTTCTGAAATTCTTTTTTTTTCCTAAGATTTATTTATTTTAGAGAGAGAGAGTGCATGAGTAGAGGAGGAGCGGGGGTGGGGGGAACGCAGACTCTGCTGAGTGGGGAGCCCTATGACTACATGGGCTCCTGAGATCATGACCTGAGCCAAATTCAAGAGTTGGAGTCTTAACTGACTGCGACACCCAGGTGCCCCAAGGCTTCTGAAATTCTTGTGACTATTCAGATGTACACCATTTTCCTTACCACTTTCACATAGAGTTTATGAACTACTTATTAGTTAACGAGCTTTCATTATACTGTAAGTATTTGTAGGATAATATTCTTCCTTTATGTATGTAAAACACAGACTTCATTCCCCCAAATAAATGTCTGAATCTTGGGCTGACTTGGTAACAAGGGGTTATAGTGAAAGCTCTTTGGCAGCGTACAGCATGGCCAAGCAAAAAGGTTCATTCCGATTTTTTTCTATCAACAAATAATGCATGCCAAAATGATCTTTAACATGCTGAATCTCACCACAAACTGTGATTACTTAGAATCCAACTTTGTATTTTTAATAAATAGCTATTACTCACTTTAAAAACCAGTTGGTTGAGAGAGATCTACCCCATTAGATTAGACTTTGGACTTAAATAAATAAGAAAAATCTAAAATCTAAAATAAAACCCCAAACCCTTATGTTGGATAATTATAAATTATAAATAATTTTAATTTTAAACTATTTTAAATGTAGGTTGCTTTCCAAAGATAATTAAAGCTAACTTTAAATAACATCGTGAATAACTCTAATCTTGTAAATAAATTCAATGTATGATTTTATTATGGAATTTATAAATTCTCATAATTTGCAAAAACAGAATAAGACTTTTCCAAATCTCCAGACTCTTCCTGAAATACATTTCTTATACTATTTTATTCTGAGGTTTTGAACTATTATCATGCCTAATGACAAATTTCTTTAAGTGTCTATTTGGCAATAACTTTAGGGGCAACGTGAAGAATTCCAAACAAGTATTTTAAGTGTCCCGCCACTTGACAGTCTAGCCTAGTATTCACAGATAGATCCAAAAACATGGGTGTCGAGTAAATGAATGAACTGCTACTCACTAACACCAACACATTGCTCACAGTGAGTTTGCATGAATCTCCCCACAGACTACAATCCAGATTTTCATTGACAAAATTGATCTAGACTTTGGACTGGAAATCCAATTAAATCTGGCTCTTTTTTTAAAAAGTATAAAATTAACTCAATTCCTTCCTTTCTTAAAAGAGAACTTTTCTCTTTTCCCCTATTTCATATACTTTAAAAAAATCTGAATAGGCAATACATTTATATGGTCCAAGAACCAGAAAGCATAAAGGTACACAGGGAACAGTCTCCTTCAAACGTGTCTGTCTTCCACCCAGCTCATTCCCACAGCTAGCTGTTCTCCTTGGGTTCTTATAAATCCTTCCAGAGTTTCTTTATGCAAGTAAAACAAATACAAATGTAATTTTTTTCCTCCTCTTTTAAACCAATATGTAGCCTGTTATACAAGTTATTATATAAATACAGCCTATTAAATTAAGTAAAACAACTTTGGCATTTTTCACCATATATACACGCTTCCTTTTGTGTTGACAAAGCCCTCCTTCAGGATGGCCAGCTTCACTGTGGTGATGCAGAAGCATCCTTGCAACTAACTTTTCTACTGGACCCAATGCCTAAACAGGTTTCCTTCTGCTCTCAAAGTGACTTGGGAATCAGACAGTGCCCCTTGGCATCTCTGCACCTGGCCCTGATGAGTGGTATGTGCTCCTGCCATTTAGTGCTTTCTCGGTAACCTCTAGATTCCATTTAGACAGACTTGGTCAGTACATGGGATTGGCCAAAGAGCAGCTGCTGCCTGTTCATATCATTTGTTAGACCTCAGGGACTTCCATGTCCCGAGGGTGCTTAGTGGAAACTTGGAACTTAACCCTCTTTGGAAAGGGCTCTAAGGGAAACAGGTCCCAGGCACACATGCCCTGGAAAAAGCATGGCTAAGGACCTAACAGCTACAAGGCATGCCGAAAGCATCGTCACAAACTTGGTCCCATGATTCACCTCCTTCTATTCAGGAAGGCCATTCTCAATTATTTCTTTCATACTTGTCTTCAGTGTTAGGCCCAGAAAGCTACAGCTGAGTAACAAAAAGACATAAATGCCTGCAAAGTAATCACCAACAACCTTGGTTTGTGCTTGGGTTGTGGGTCTCCTGCTCGTTGAGGGGACGAATGCTTATTGAAGACTGGGTACTCTGTACCAGTGTTACAAAGTAAGTTAGAGCTTCATTTAATGATTATTTTTTAAAAGGCAGCATACCCAGGAAGGTACACTGATCCCACACACAGTTTACTCCCAGGGGTGGGTTTACCTGGAGGCCAATGGATCTTCCAGTCTCTCACCAACATGTGTCTCCTCAAGGCTCACTGCCTAATTTATATTATTAACATTCTTTTTTGTAAAGAGTGACCCTGAATTGTATGAGCTTCATGCCCCACAAAACCTGGATCTGATCTTGTTTACTGCCATAGCCAATTTTCAGTTATCTGCTAGCTGTCTAAATTTAAGCTTTATCCAAGGGCAAACCTTGCTCTCTGAAGTACGGTTCGCTATTTTCTTAGTGGTCCACTAGTTCTTCTGTTTTCATATTGACTTTCCACTTGGCTTGCAAGGCAACAGGATTTTCTGTGAAATGCTCTGATCGCTCCCTATGGGGAGAATTTTATAAAGAATGGAGTTGTCTCCTCCAAGCACTAAAGGATATGCAGGAACTTGAGAAGACTTGTTACAGTAAATGAATAGCTTCCCAATCGTTCCTGAGACAAATCTTGTGTCTATATCTTCATTTTTGTTTAAAATGAGCCCCTGGGATATAGACTCATTGTTAAGAAAAAAAAAATATTTCAAAGCCAGATGTGAAAGATTTAGGGAGCCAACCATACTATTTCTTAGCTCCATTAGTGAGAATAACTGAAAATTGACAGAATTTCTATTATTCAATTTAACTAGGATTCAAAGAGTTGCCAATTTAGTCATTTCATATTTTTGTGGGGAGTTTTCATATTTTTTGCTTGTTTTTAAATCACTCCTTTTCCAGCCAACAAAACATTATGCAGGAATTTAATCTCTGACAGAGTTTGAGCTCTTCCTTCGTGAAAACACTTCACTCTGGCTCAGTAACACCATCAGTGGTACAAGGCGTGGTTGTATTGTGTCTTAGCAGCTATGTATTTAACAAAATAAACAAGTGCTTAAGAGATTAGTATTTATCTCCTAGAAATTCTTTTGTATCCTTTTGAAAATCATCTTTAACTCTAATTTTTAAAAAGCAGGAAAAAAAGAATATTGCGCAATAAATAAATCTACTTGATTAGGATTCCAATTATTTGTTTATCAGGAGTACATTTTAATTCATAAGAGGAATTTCTTACTGACCAAAGAATTATTAGAGCTGAAAATTTGTTATTCTTCACACATTTCAATTGGAAAGTTTAGATTTTTTTTATGAGGTGGGAAGTAATCAGTTTCTTAGAGGAAATAGCCCTTTAATGGGCCAAACAAAGTATGTAAGTCCATAGTCGCAGAGAAAGGTGGGGCTAAGACTGATTGATTCCTAGCTTCATTTGGTATACCTTTATACTTTAAAGCTTGTAAACTGACTTTTTTAAAACTTCATTTTCATTGAAATATGTTCCTTGTCAGTTACCTCCATTAGTCCTAGGCAGGTGTCTAACCAACAGAAATAACGGCCTTAAAAAAGGAGGAGTCAGGCCCTCTGCAGGTGGCAGTGACATTCTGTGTGGCATTTATACTGCAACATAGGGTGCATTTACCACCACTCCTGAGGATAAAAAAACAGCATGCAAAATACCTGTGTCAGGGAATTAAACAGAAAACATCTTTTTAGGTTGGCTCCATCATTTTCATACTTCTGCTGTCTGTGGCAGGTATTCATGACATATAACAGGAAAGTCTGGAGTTTAGGGATCATCAAGTCATTGACAATTGCAATGAGAAAGAGAAAATGGGTTCTTATTCTTTATGGAAAGAAAATTTCTTAAGACCCCGTATTGAGTAATATCTTCCATCCGGGTCCCTCTTCTGTTTGGCTTTAGAAAGCATGTTGAGATCTCAGCTCATGTGAGGAGTAGAGATGAAGCCCTCTGGGTTTTAATTATCTTTTTAAAAGAGCATTGCTTCTGGTCACAAAATAATACCTATACTGTATGGGAGCAAATTTCTATTTACATTTTATGGCCTATAGCAGTTGTAGCCATATATTTTCTTTGTATGTAAGTATGTTGACTATATTTTAATACTTTATGCAATAAAGTCCCCTTTTATAACAGGATTATGAAGTATCATAATATATCGTAATGTACATGAGACTGTTCTTTCTTCTCATTCATAAAATATTCATCCTGGTATCCTTTCCTCACTATTTAAAAAATCTGTACAAACTTGTAGGTACTTTCATTGACTCTTGCATATTCACAATGCTGAATATTTTCACTGGAGGTAAAATTAGTTTTGTGTAATAGATTCTATGAGTAATTTTCATACAGATAACATACCATGTGACACGAGGTTCTGGCCAGCCTGATACAGAACAATGTAATTTTACGTTTTCTTTCTCCCAAACAGTGTGGGAACGAGGTTTAATGACAAATTCAGGAGCATGGAGAAGATGATCTTCATTCAACTTTCTGTGAAATGCCTCAGTTTCTTCTAACTATAAAAAAATATATGAAAATATTATGAAATCAAAGTAACCTGTGCTGCTAAAATAACAATAAAAACCCAAATTATCATTTTTCCACTTGGAGGCTTACTTTTCTATTTAGACCAAAGGCCTTCTCTTTTTCCCCGTTTTTAAAAAAGATTTTATTTATTTATTTATTTATTTATTTATTTATTTATTTATTTATTTATTTATTTTAGCAAGGGGAGGGGGAGGAGCAGAAGGGGAAGGAGAGGGACAAGCAGACTCTGTGCTGAGTATGGAACCCCACGTCAGGCTCCACTCCGGGGTCCTCCCAGGGCTCAATCCCAGGACCCTGAGATCATGACCTGAGCTGAAATCAAGAGTCAGATGCTTAACCAGCTATACCATCCAGGTGCCCCTCTTTTCCCCTTTTAAAAAGATACATTTAATTTTTAACATTCTAAGCCTCAGCAACATATTTTACTTTCCCCTAAGGTGGATTTCTTAAGGTTCTTTAGAACCATAATTTCTGTAGAACCTAAAATTTCATGGAGTTTGAAACCACTAAGTCTGTCTTTCTTTGACCCATACATTTTGATGTCTTTCTCCTTGTTTTCTTTAGTTTTGTTTCTCCAGAAGACTATATATTTCTTCATTCAAAACAAATAAATCTATATGTACACACACATGCAATGTTACATGCATTTCTGCATTTGTAAATTACATTAAATTGTCTTTTCTTACTGTTTTTTTCAGCGACAGCCGTTCTGCCTTCTCTCGAATTGTTACTTTCCTTGACTTCTTCTCAAAAGCTTCCTCCTGGTGAAGAGTGGACGTAGACTGTTTGGATACTGAGGACTGTTTGGATACAGCAGACTGTTTGGATACAGCAGATTGTTTGGATATAGCTGACTGTTTGGATACAGCAGACTGTTTGGATGCCGTGATTCCTTCTTCACTAGCAAGAAGATTCCTCTGGGCTATATAAGTAGCAGCTTCCTTAATTCTTTCTTCTTCCGTATCTCTAGTTCCACTGACATGCACTTGGCTAAAATATAATAAGAGCAAAACATGGCTACTGTGAAGGGCAGTGATAGGATTGCCTAATTTTTACTAAGTTCAAAGTATCAGAACTTAGACATTGTGTATCATGCCCAAAGAAAACCTGACAAAGAAAAACCTGGTAAATCAGGAGCTAACTCTTCACATACAGAAGTGATCATCACCTTAACCCATAATGGTAACAACAATAATAATACCTACTATGGCCATGGTGTTGACAAGTGCTTCTTTACATACATTATCTCATTTTAAGCCTGCAATAACCCTAGGTAAACTCTATCATTTCTATTTTAGACATATGGTAACAAGGCTCAGAGAAATTAGATAACTTGCTTAAGGTCATTTCATTGGTTTCTGTAGGGTATTTAAATAGGATAGAGTCTATAATAAAAGATTAAGTTATGACTTTCCTTCCAGAAAAGATGACATTATAAAATGAGATATTGTTTCTGTGCCTGTGATTCCGATATGGGACTATGTGCTTGATCTGGATTCTATAACTCACCTGATATAATGCATTGCCCAGAGCTGTTGCACCTATAAATAAATTCTAAATTTACATGAGATCCTTATGCCTACTGGGTTTCTTTAAAGGTTATTTGTGTGTGTGTGTGTGTGTGTGTGTGTGTAAACATATTTAACGACATTCTTTATTTATGCTTGCACATAGCCCTGATAAGGGAAAAAAATGACCAAAATTTAATTTGAAGGGGTGATGTTTATAAAAGTGACTTGTTTTTATTCATAACTAATGATGATGGCAAGTGAGTGGTAACATCCAAAAGTGCTGTGCCTAATGTAGTAGTTTATGATAGAAATTGTGCTATAATTTATTAATGTTAAACACATGTAGATTATTTTTAATCTCCTTCAATACCTTTGTGGTCAAGCCCAACAGTGAGGAAGTATAATGATTATATTGAAGATTTTCTTGAAATTGAGTCTCCTTAGACCTCTGAAGGCTGAATTTTACCTTTGATTTTCTTATAAGAATAATGATTTCCAAATTTAAGCAAATACTGCCATTATGTTTATAAGTTTCTGGTACCAGAATCTGTGTAGTTTGCTGAAAAAGAGGGCTCAATATTTGCCCAAGTTTGAAATTTCTCATGGAATTTTACTAAAACATCTGGTAGACAAGATTAGTCTACTTTGTTTCTTACTACACTCAGTGAGTAAAGTTTAATTTCTTTTTCCTTATCTCTATCTCTCCAAACATTAATAAGGTAGTCTTTACTAAGTAAGTGAGTAATACATCCACTATAATTTAGAGAAAAGGGAAGATGGAAGATTTTCAGTTTAGTGTCTTGAAATAATTATCTCTAATTTCTTTTTAATGAGATAGGAAGTGAATGAATTAATAAGTGAATACAAGACAAACTGTCACGAGAATCTGCTTGGAATTCCACATAGAGGTAAATATATAATAGATTTGAAATGATCTTTGTAAAATGATTTGATATATATAATAATACATTTTATTCAATGCTAGTCTTGCCCTGAGTTGAGACAATTCTTAAATAAGAGAACTTTAAGTTTAAGCTCACATTACCTCTAATGTGACATAGCTCTAGAAGTCAGAATGAAGTCCTGGTCTCCTTACCTTTTCCATGACAAATAAGCTGAACTTCAGGAAGACTATATATTTCACGTGAGATCTCAAATACACTTAAAAAATATTTTGACCCAGGACAGCAGGAATATTTTTCTTTAAGTAAATATAAGTGTATGTCAGTGATAATCCTTTTATAATCTGGGTACAAAAGCAAGAATATGCTAACATGCTGACAAAACTATACAGCTACAAATTTAAAATGAATTTCACACCTCCCCAATACTCTATCTCAACTCAAAAACCTGCTGGTGACACAAAGTTAACTCAATTTATCTGAGTACAAGAAGTGAAAATTTCAAGTGCCATCCAGAAGAAACGGTATTTCCCAGAAATACACTATAATCACAGAGTGCAGTGTTATGTTGCATTGGCCAATCCCGGCAGACTCAGCTCTTCCATTGCCAGCCATGTAACTTTCAACAAGTCATTGAGTCTTAATTTCCTTGTCCATAAATTGGTATACTAATACATCTCTAGAGCTGTATAGAGGACTTAGCAAGATAGTTTACATAAAGCATCTAGTAAGATTCTCAGAAAACAATCGGTACTCAACAAAGGTTCATTTTTCCCCCATCTTCTTCTTAGATTGTTAATACTGTCAACACCATTACGAAGTGTTATTTTCAACATAGTAGTAGAATATGAGATGGATCCATATTTTAAAAAGGAAAAAAGGAGAACTAGAAATAAAACCAACTGAAAGCAAGAAGCCTCATTTCATGTGGTAAAGAGATGGAGAGGTATGCCATGTAGGTTAATGCTAAGTTAATGTGCTTTTTAAATATATATATTTTTTAAAACAGAGTGAGCTGGGAACAAAGAAAATAAAATATTTTACTCCTCTAGCCTAGCCATCGCCTATAAAGAATGTCAGTGTATATTAAACTAACTGTGGACAGGCTAAGTCTGGGTAAGCATACTTAGCAAAATATGCATATTTCAATGGAAAGTTCACTTAAAAAAAATCAGAGATATCAAAGAGAAAGCTAAAAATAGCATATTATTTACCCCCTCACCTTCCTAACTATAATCAGAGCAATTATGACATTAGCTTCTGAAACAATTCCAGAAGAAACTATCAGAGAAGAATGAGAAGAAAAACACAGGGAAACAGAGGTAGGTCACCAACGATGACAACCACGTCATTGCCTCCTGAATTTCCTGATGGCATTTGCCCTGAGAGGAAGCCCTCATTTTGAGTATCACCTCAGCTCTGTGGATAGTTCTCCATTCAAAGGAAAATAAACAGGGAAGGCTCTGAAGGTTCCCATTAAATCTTAATTTGGTGTCTCAAACAGGTTTCAAGATTCCTCTAGATATTATAATCATTCCAAAAAAGTTTATATTTTTTAAAAAGATCACATACACATATTTACCTTATAAACACAGAAATTTGGCATTAATGGACTTGTAATTTCATGATTATTTTGTTTGAAGTTTGCCTCAAGATAAATAGTAATCTTTTTCACATTAAACAAATACAGGTAAATAGGCAGGCATTCAAATTATGATGCCATTCTTTTACTTAGTCTATGTTATCTAAGATTTTTTTTCTTCCTAATGAAAAATAATTAAAACCACACTGGCAACCACAATAGCTTCCCTCTGCCTAAATATAACATCGGATTTTTTTTTTTAGTTCATCCAATATTTTATGGTTTTGAACCTTTCTTTCTACTCTAGTGACTATCTATAGTGTCCAATCACTAGCATCCAATGCTCTCCTTCTAAATTTCAGTCAGTTACATAATTAGAACTAAGTTCCTGATCCTTCTCTTTTGTCTTGTAGCCATCCTAGGTGATGGCCGATTTTCACAATGAACACGTCTCCCTCAGTGCAGAGTTCCAAGGTTCCTCAGACCTTTCTCAATCATCACATAGTTAAGTGTTCAGTAAATGTCAGAGGCAATTATTATTATTACCTGACAACATTTACTCTTCACTTTCTAATATTTAAGGCCAGGAAGAGAATGCATACGTACCGTCCTGAGAAAATGGGCACTATATAGTCACTTGGCAGATTTTCCTTCTCCTCCCCAGAGAGAAGGCTCTTCTTGGCTCTCTTTGCTTGCGGGCTCAACTTCGATGAATAATCTTCTAACATCAGACTGGAATCTGTAAGTCTGAAACAAAACCCCTAACATTAGGTAATAACCAAAAATTGCATTGAAAATATTCAAAAATGCTTATACAGGGAAGTTTTAACTAGGGGGAGGTTTCACAGAATCTTAGATTTCTAATGTTATAATATCTTTTATCTTTAGAACTAAAGAGGAGTGAGAAAGACCTCATACAATGCACTCTAAATAGACACAATAAAAAAATAGGTCTATGGTAATTTCATAGCTTTGTCCACCCCCGCCCGAAAGTTTCAAGGGAAAACAGCAGTGTTTTTGTGATAGTTCCAAATACCCCTTGCTGTTAAGTTAATGTTCAAAATTTAGGAAGTCTATAAAAATGGTTTTATCCAAATCTTTTCATGGGATTGATAAAATATAAAATGTTCTGGATAGGGAGCCCTTCTCCACCAAACCATTTTGATGCAGGACCCCTAGGTTCAACTCTGAGGCCTTTATGTAGTGTAGACAGACTCCTCTCTTAGAAGAAACACTGAGTTCATCAAACAAGAGTTAATATATTTTGTGTGAACACATAGTGTTAAGTAATTCAGAGAGTTACAGGGGTGTGATAAAGAACCCTTCGGTCAGTTCTGTTGTACACAAAAATCCACCCATGCACATTTGTGCAAATGTGCATTTGGAGGTAGACAGTGTTCTAAATAAACAAAAAAATATATTAGCATGGCAGAAAACATGAAAGCAGAGATTGCACCTACAGAAAAGGATTGATAAAATCAAAAGTACAATCCGTCTTAATCTTCATAGTTCTTGAATGAAATGAAATGCATTTTCATTCAAATATATACAAGTGGGCATAAATTTCAGGAGCTCATGGACTCTCTCAAATTAATCCATGGACTCATGTTAAAATCCCCTGGTCTACATTGTAATGAAAGACATTCACAATAGGGAACTCTACCAGAACTCTGTACTATCCTTGTAATTTGAAATGATTCTAAAATAAAACAGTATTAAAAAGTCCCCTTGTCTAGAGAAAATTTGGGAAGAAAGTGAAGCATGTGTGTGATATGGCATGGGAAGAGCAAGCTGCCCAGCTGAGACAGAAAAACTTTCCAAACCATCCAAACCTGACCATTTCTCAATCTTTAAGAAGCATTAGGAAAAGCAGAGATGACCTAAATCAAAAGCAGAAGACAGGCCAAACACATATATAGTGCAAAAGGAACACATAATAATGCAAGTAAATCTATCCTCTGCTAAACAAGTAGCACAGAACTTTAGGGCTTCTAGAAAGTACAGGGGGGTGCAGTGGTTCTGGGCCTGGGGGTATAGGGTGGACTACTGCCTTTGATCCCCAGAACACAATGGCCAACTTCTTCCTCTCCCGCTAACTAGCTCCTTCCCTAGGGTGAATATGTAGGTCCTAGTGTATGATCAGCATTGAAATTAAAGGTTAGAACCTTCAATTCAAGCTTGAGGATTGGTTACCAATTGGAAGGCTGAGTGAAATTTGTTCCTGGCTGCCTGTTCCAGGCAGCAGCAAAATGACTGCGTTCTATATCCCCAGCAGATTACAAAGTACAGGCTGTGCTAATACACGTCTAAGTTTAAAGTGGTATTTTCCTTCCCCTCTTTAATTCATTACCATGCAAAATAAAATTAATTTTGGAGTTTAAGAGTTACTTTTTTTCCTATTTATAGAATATTTTCATTTTTTTCATTTTGCTCTCACTTTTCTGTTTTTGCTTTTTTCTTTACTTTCATTCTAGTATCTATAGTCATTCTCATGAGCTCGTATTTTCAACATTTATTTACATTGAAACAGCTATGATTTGTCATTCTTTTTGTTGTGTTGTTGTTCCTTTTTTGTCATTTTCCCTTTAAGATGAATCTTTGAAATGATGCACTTATTACATAGAATGTGCCAGGAGGTGATTATTCCATCCTCACAGGTAAATCACAGTGGCTGGTTTCTAATATTGAACTTTATGGTAATGATTCATGGAACTATCATCAGTTTCCACTTCATATGTTATTTGGAACAAAAAACTTCACAAAAAGCATTATGATGTTTTATATTATACATATAGTATTATTTAGAAAATCCAAAGTATTTAGAAAAAAAAATCTTTGTTATGCTCTTTAAAGTTTCTTCAAGCTTTTGAACACTAATAAAAAAAAAAGTGCAGGGCGCCTGGGTGGTGCAGTCTCTTAAGTGGCCGACTCTTGGTTTTGGCTCAGGTTGTGGTCTCATGGTTGTGAGACTGGGCCTGCGCGGAGCTCTGAGCTCTATGTGTGCTCAGCACTGTGTCTGCTTGGGACTCTCTCGCTCTCTCTCCCTCTCCTGCTCTTGCTCTCTCTCTAAAATAAATAAGTAAGCCTTAAAAAAAGAAAAAGGCATGTAAAGGATTAGAGGTTAAAATACTATGCCAACAGACTATTTAACAATAACTCACTTATTGAAGATAGCAAACAAAACTAAATCAGAGAAACATAAAGCTTTAAGGAACTATATAATAACCAGTGTAACTAATTATTTGAAGAAAAAGCCATCAATAGTCTATTTTGTCATGATCCATGAACACTGAAGTCTAACATCTTATTCTATTGAATTCTAAAGCTGAATACTGTTTTTAGAGGAGAATGTTTTAAGAAGAATATGTAAAATTTTAATTTCTTTGAATTTAAATCAAAAGGTGAAATAAGAAGCAAAATAAGTCAGTCAGAGAAAGACAAATACCATGTGATGTCACTCATATGTGGAATTTAAGAAACAAAACAGATGAACAGAGGGAAAGGGAAGGAAAAATAAAATAAGATAAAAACAGAGAGGGAGACAAATCATAAGAGACTCTTAACTCTAGGAAACAAATTGAGTATTGCTGGAGGGGAGGCGGATGGGGAAGATGGGGTAACAGGGTGATGGGCATTAAGGAGGGCACTTGATGGAATGAGCACTGGGTGTTACATGCAACTGATGAATCACTAAATTCTACCCCTAAAACTAATAATACACTATATGTTAACTAACTTGAATTTAAATAATTTTTTTAAAAGATGAAATAAGGTTTTGATAACCTCTTGGGTGTTTAGTTTTATCTAAATTTTGAAAATCCTCCATCTTAAAGTCAGTTTCTGAGTAGACATGAAACTTGATATGCATGGATCTATTGGGATCTTTTAACTATTAAAACTACAATTAATGTTCTTTATGTACTGAGCTTAAATCTTGAAGCTTTCTGAATTTCAGTTTATGAAGGCATTGAAATTAAGCAATAGTTAAGGATTGATTTGTGTGTGCATACATGCACTTGCACATCTGTAACTGTGTCTAAGTACAAATTCTTGCACTCTGCTACTAACTGGGGTATGTCCTCTGCCTAAATTTATGCCTAAATTTAACAGAATTTAAAGAAATGTCATGGTGTGTATGGCATCATCACATCTACAGCCAGCAGCACCACAGAGAAGGGATGTAGCCAAGGTAGAGAGAGCTCTCTCTGGTAAGCCTATTTCTAACTCAGAATTTAATTCAAATACTTAACAATGACAAAAGATAACCTTCTGTTCTTTCAACTTCATAATTATACTTGACAGGAAAATAAAAAACAAAACCACTTATAAAATCCCAGAACTGGAAGAGATCTCAAGGATATTTATAACAAGCTCCTCATTTTATAGATTTGGAAGACATAAGAGTGCCTTCCTAACTTGCCCATGTTCACACAGCAAGTTGGTAGCTGAAGTAGGGACTAGCACCCATCTAGATCAGTGTTCTTACCACTATACCAGTTGTCTCTGACTTTTGTGACTGAGTACTCCTAATCCAAAAATACTGGGGGCATGCCACCTACATATGTTTATTTATATGTTCTATGCATATACTACCATATAAATAGTCACACTTTATGAAACATTCAGTCAATAGAAACATTTTAGAGACCAAATTTGAGGGGCGCCTGGTTGGCTCAGTCGGTTAAGCATCTGCCTTCAGCTCAGGTCATGATCTCAGGGTCCTGGGATCGAGCCCTGTGTTGGACTCCCTGCTCAGTGGGGAGTCTGCGTCTCCCTCTCCTCCCTGCTCCTGCCCTCTCTCTCGCTATCTCTGCCTCTGTCTCTCAAATAAATAATCTTAAAAAAAAAAACAACAAACAAATTTGATTTAAAAAAAAATAGTAGTGCTAATATTTCTTCCTATCTTTCCATGGTCTGCCTTTGTGGACACCCCACTTTGGAGATCATAATACTGTATCACACTGCCTGTAATGACTCCCATGGTGATTTGTTATTCCTGAATTTATTCACAGGTTATGAAATCATCACAGTTCAGTTGAAAATATATCATTAAAAAACTCATTAAATTTTACATGAAATAAAATGTTAGTTCCTTAAAGTTATGTTTGTAGTCAACATACAATTTGGGGGAAATTGTCCTAGTTCCCCAGGATGAGTAACTTTATTCATACTTACATTAAGTAGGGATCTGCTTATTGGCTATATCACTTTCCGAAAGTGTCATAACCTATTGGCATGTTCAGAAAAATGATGGGCTGTAGGCATTGTCTTTTGTTGACACTGCTCCCAAACCCTGCATCACCCAACCCTATATGCTCGGGTTATAGTGCATTATTGCTTTCTCTATCTTTCTCACTGCCTATGACCACTCATAGAGATGAACAGTTTTAGTTATCTTTGTATCTGCATTGTGTCCAGTGCCCGAAGGTGTTCAATAAATTTTATTGAATGAAGTGAAATCATTCATCCTCCTTTCATCATACCCTAGGCCAGTGATTCTCAACCTTGGCTTCACACCAGAATCTGCTGAGGAGTTATTAAAAATGACCAATGTAGAGGTGGGACTTCTAGTATGATGGAGTGAGTACTTCAGCAGTTACTCTCCCCAAAAAGCAATGATAAAACTGGATACAGGTGTCAAAACCAACCCATTCAGGGCTCTGAAAATCAACCAAAGACATACACTACACTGAGAAGTAGTTATTCATAAAAAAGCCACTGAACTTTAGGTATGAACAATGGAAGTC